TATAAAACTTATATAAGTACAGAAATAAAAAATATTATCCCTCATATCATTATCATTTTTTTAGTTAGGGAGACTGAATAAGTCAATCAGTGTGCTACGTGAATGACGAGCTGAGCTGAAGTCCTCACTGCCCTCCCAATTTTTTGAGCTGGGCTTGGATACATGTAAATCTTAAGACCAATGATTAGTTGGCAGTACTACTATATTTTTTAATAAACTATAAAAATAAAATAAAATTGAGGAACTTTGTTAAAAATTAGGTATAATTAAGTATAAACATTGATAAATTTTTATTAAACTAATGGATAAATAAGGAAAATGAATTCATTCTATTTTTTAAGGAATATATATTTTTCTTGAACAATTACAATTTTTGCGGAATGAGGAAAGAGAATAAGATTAAGAGTTCTCAAATCTTGACCGAGTGGGTAACAAGCAATACCACTCACTCACCCTATACGTCAAGTCGGTTATATTGTTTAATTCATTGCTAAATGTAGGAAAAAAAAAGGACATTAAAGCTTTAATTATTCATAACTTCTTTGGAAGTTTTTTAGTTTTAATTTAATTTATTTTTTTAAATTAAAATTTTATTTTGGTTTTTTTATTTTAACAAAAAATCTTTTTTAATCTCTAAAATTTATTATCTAACTCCTTTTCGTCTCTTTATTATTTTTTTATATGTATGGCATGTAAAAATGACAAAAATTTCACTCTCTTTACTTTGAAATTTTTGTCATTTAATGTGCTATATATATAAAAAAATAATAAAGGGATTAAAAAAATTAAATAATAAATTTTAGGGATTAAAAAAAATTCTTTAAGTAAAACAACTAAAAATTGATCTTTTTTTTTTTAAGTAAGGCGAACAAAATGAGATTTTAACATTCTTTTAAATGATAAGAATATTTTTGAATAAAGTTTTCACATGTCTCGAATTTAATTTATTATGGAACGATTTTAAAGACAGACTTTTCATATTTACTTAACTCAATACATTTAAAAATATTAATTTTTTAAATATTAGTTTTAATATTTAAATTTTAAACTTAATTTACAAAATAATAATTTTTTATCAATAAATTCAACTCTTAAAATTATTTAATTTTATATTTTAATTAAGAAATAAACACTCACTAGCACTTGGGCTTTCAGACCCAGTGACGTCAGGCCACGCACAAGTGCATTCCCCCACCTCCAGAGCAACGGTTCGAATCCAACCTTTGCAAATTTATTCAATAAATAAATAAATACATAACCACTCACTAACCCCACAACCCTAAAAGATCAGAGTTAAAATTGTATACTCTCTCTCCTCCCCATTTTTATTTAGTTCTCCTACTTCTTAATAAATGTGTTTTTATTTATTTGTCATACTTTATATTTTTAAGAAATACGAAATTTTTTGCTTCAAGTTTACTTCGCATTACTCAACCATATTAATGAGTGAGTGAGTGGAAGAGCTTTTATTAAGGACATATGTGAAATTTCAAACACTAATCATTATGTTTTTATGTATTTAACTAAAAATTTATTTTATAATTCAAATAGTATCAAATTATAAAATAATAATTTTTAGATTGAGAAGAACCCCGTAATATTGAATTTTCCTCTCCATATTTAAGGATCTTGATTTTATAATTGGATATAATTTGAATTGTAAAACAGAAACTCTTTAATTAATATACTTTATGCAAATCTAATGAAACAAAAAAACTCAAAAATAATAAAAAACAAATAATAATTAAAAAAATTGTAACTTAATTAATAAAAAGATTTGTTTCTCATTTTTATAAGTAAGATTTGATTTTTTTAAAAATTTAATAAATAGTTAATTTTTTATAAATTTCTTAATTATGACATGGATGATATATTTTTAACCAAATTAAAAAAAATAATTTTAAATTGTACATAAATTAATCAAAAACACTCTTGTTGTTAAAATAATATTTAAAAAAAATAAAAAATAAAAACAGTTTAAACAGCACCTAACCTCCCCCACACCCAAAAAAAAAAGGGCAAAAGCCTAAGAATAGCCCCTTACCTTGATAAGTTGGATGGTTTTGGCCCCTCACCTTATAATATAACGGTTTTAGCCCCTAACCTATAAGAATGAAAGAAAATAGCCCTTTTTTGTAACTTCCGTTTGTTGGGCTGTTACCGTCCGTCACTTCTGTCCCTTCCTCCGTTATCTTTCCGTTAACTTTCTCAAAGCTTCTCCAAGAAGCCTGCTGCATTTTTTTTGGAATTCAAAC